AATACCCTATTGCCCCCACCGACGCAGCACCACAGTTTCTTTAGAAACACACCCCCTTTGTTCGAAAGAACACCTATGTTTAGTAGGACAACAAATATCAATACTTCAAAGCAGGTTGCTTATTATTTCACATGGATTCCTTGGCTCAAGCTGAAAAAGGTCTTTACAATCTCTGTTTTCAGTTGAAGTCTTCCTGTCATTGGAGTTGACTTTTCTTCAAGGATCAAATATTTTGGATGAGTGCAACGAAACGTAACCAAGAGAAAATAAATCACTTTCTCTTAATTGACGTAACCCAGAAACCTGTCTTCATTACTTTTTCAGCAAAACAAAAACAATCAGAACGTCCACCCGTCGGTATGACATTTGATCAACGCATTATAAGTACTTACGGCCTCATTTTATTTAAAATCTCTGGAAGTGCCTTGCTTGTAAATTTCGATATTTAAGCCTCTTCTCAAGTTAACCACGAGATTTTCACACTTATGTAGAGCGAAAGAAGTTAGAAAGATAATTTTGATTAATGGGTCAAAGTACATCAAAAATGTCATTTTGCAGCGCCAGATTATGGACGAAAAATCACAACAAAGCCAATTTAATAGTTTTCAGTCCAAAAATTTGCATAGTACCCGCAGGGTGCTGTTATTTAGAGACGTAATTAATTTGCGTTGCGACAAAGCCAGATTAACTTTCGTTTTTCAATTCATCGAGTGTTTGTTGACTACAGAAAGCAGCCCATATTCTTTATCGCAGATGAAGTATTACAACCTCACTAAAAGGTTTTTAAAACTTTGACAACGTTAAGTAAACTTTAATTCACTCACATGAAAGTTATGTGTAGCAGGTACAATTCGTTTCAAACGAAGAGATTAACAAGCGAACAATGTAGAATACTTAATCCTTGACTGATTACGGTTAAATGAGCCAAGATAAGAAAGCAAATATATTTGCATATTCTTACAAAAGAAACCTCAAGGAACAGAAAAACAAGAACATAGTCGTGGTAGACGTAGCCTCGTTCCCGCGCAGTAATTTCGGCACCAGATCACTGAACCTCGAGAACACGTTGTGAGCGTAAAAGTTATCACTAATTGGTTTCACTTTGTCTTATTCTCTTTAAAGAAGCACTTCGTCATTTTTCGGGCTTAAATATCGACGTCTGCTCTCAATAGTTTCGAAATCCTCAATGAAGTAAGTATAGAGCATTCTGCGATTTCCTACGTTCTTGTATGACGCGAACAGCTTGTTTATCTAAAGGCGCGACCTAGGACTGGACAAACAAACTAAGAGCTTAATTAAGTTTACTTTTGAAAAAAGTGCTAGTAGAGATTATCGACAAAACATGATATTTCCTCTTCAATTTCAAGGGCCTTGCAATACACTGAACCTTCAGTAGTCCCACAGCTTCCTAGATCATGGATGGTTTACCAGAGAAAAAGGAGGACCATCAGGATGAAGTCAACGTTCATGTCAAAGATAGTTCTGAAGGAGTGAAACCTGCTTCAAGAAAATGGAGCATTCGGCGGATCACCGCTATCGTTGCCGTTATCTCTCTCGTGGTTTGTGGCACCATTCTAACAGCAACTTTGTTGACTCGAAAAAAGCAGTTTACTGCGGAGCGCTTAGTGGAAGTTAACTTGGAACCCGGTGAAGCTCTGGTGTATCGAGTCGAGCAAGTCCTCGAAGTACGGAGTGGAGAGCTTCAGAGAGGTATTTGATCTCGCTACTAATTAAACATTAGGTATTCTCTTGAACTGCCTTTCATTTTTCGAAAAAATGTTATGTTTGAGCTGAGATTAGGCAAGTATGCATTTTGTTAGGTTTCAGACACATTTTGCCGTTCACAAGATTAGATTAGTGGAAATACTTTCATAAAACATTACAAGGAGGCAATTAAAATGAAAATCATTTAAAAATGTCATAGCTGCTCTTAAATGAATGGAATCTTGTCGGATACAAATCAAATTTTTGGTAAAGAAGTCAAATTTGCGCAAAAATCAGTCGGGTCATGCAAACATAAAGAATGCAGGATTTAAATAGTCTTGCGATCATTCTAAGTCTTCTGTTTCTGTCTCTTTTCCGTGTGTGGTCTATCCCGCCCTCGAGGCGTTGTATCTAATGCGGCCTCGACGAATTGTTTTTACCCAATCAATCGTTAACACGCTAAATCCAGCATATCCGTACACATGTACAATAGCTGAGCTGAATTCTGAATTCACCTCGGCGTTTGACATATCAATTTACTATCGACTGTTGACGAAACAGACTCTTCAACAGACTAAGTGCACTCCTTTTGCATAATAATCCAGTTTAGCTGTGAGGTGAATTATTTTACGGTCAAGCCACTTCGGTAAGTTTTGTTCATACTGCCATATGGTCAGGTTACTTCAGTCAGAAATCTAATTTGTTCAGCACCAGCTGATCATTCGTAACGCTGCCCAATTTAGCTTCAAAGTTTCTTGGAAAGTACTGTCCATTTCTTCTTAGTCGAGATTTGGGAAGGTAACTTTTCTCTTTCTAGTTTTTGATATGACAGTCTGTGAGACAGTTTGGAGGATTGAAAGGCACTCAAATTTCCACCAATAGCCACCTCAAACTCAGTGAAAAGTTGTTTATTATTCCATTATAGGTTGATTCACAGTTTAGTCTGATTTCTATTATCTACTTCTGGCGGTGACATAAAGACAGTTGGTTCCTCTTTAACTTAACAATTCGCATTTAATGTTCCCATTTCATGTTATTTCTCATAATAAATCGTTTTATTCTTGACTCTTAACATAGAGCTGTGCCGTAGATGTTGTTTATGAAAGGTATCCATGGTTTTCATTGAGTCCTAGGGGTTCACTTCTCGCCATCTGATATCTCGACGTGTTCTCTTAGAACTGGGCTGCAAATTTGGAATGGCCTTTTGGTGTCTTTTAAATCGAGACTCCCACCAAAGGCACTAGAACCTCCGATTTTGTACCTCGTAATCCATGAAAAGTTTTTCTTTCAACAAGACAATTGTTAATGCTTTATTTAACGAGTAAATTTCAAGTAAAATTTCAAGTTTTGAATCATAACACTTCTCTTTATTTTACTTCCTTCACTATGACTGAAACTATGGCTATGAATTGTATCAGTCATCCAGTTGACAATATGATAAAAGGTCTGTCTGGACCGAGTGGATCGTGGAACTTTCAGATAACTGTCCCTTATGTGACCGATGTTTCTGATGCTATGAAGTCGGTCTTTAAATCTTTCGGTTTCACCACCACGTTCAAGCCATATAACACCCTAAGGCAAAAGTTAGTAAAGGTAAAGGATAAGCCCACAAAGTTAAGAGGCATATGTGGTTCATGGGATAAAGTGTGGTGATGAGAACTGCAGGGAAACCTATGTTGGAGAGACCAAACAGGCACTGGGCTCGAGAATGGGACAGCGAAAAAGGCCCAGTACTATCGAGGCACAGAATTCGGCTGTCAAAGAATGAACTTGTTGTTATGATATTAAAGTTGCATATTTATTGTAATGACCACCTCCGGTTGTCGTTTGTTACCTGTCAATCATGTAATTTTCTGAGTGAGTAAGTGAGAGAGAGAGGAGCTCGGCACGTTGTAAAAACTTGGAGTACAACAAATAAACCGCTTCGTGGAATAACATTTTAGCGTGCAGTCAATATACTACACTGGCGACGAGTAATAAAAACGAAAGTCCACTCTAGTGGATAGGAACACAGAATCAACGCAACCCGAGTCAAGCCGACAGCTTACACAGCCATGAGCACCCTACCACCGTTTCCCTCATTCGACCTTTCTCAAAATCAAGGAACACTTGCCACTCGGTGGTAAAAGTACATCGCACGGTTCCGCAACCTTATTGTAGCGTTGAATGTGACCAACAAGAAGCGACAGCAGGCTCTTCTGTTACACTATGCAGGCGAAGAGGTCAACGATATTGTTGAAACGCTGCCCGACGCCGTTGCAGGAGCAGACGTTGCTACCTTTCTATAATCAAGAAATGGATAGACATTCTAGTCTTCTCGGATAAGGATGAATAAACCGTAGGCCCCGTCTCCTGCAGGGTTAGGGGTAGGAGACGTTAATTTCGTACGCACGAGATTAAAGTGTCGTGGATGTCCTCCCCTGGGGTGGGAATTGGCCCTGAAAAGCCCCCATGAGGAGTGGTCAACTAAAGTATGTATGTATGTATGTACGTACGTACGTACGTACGTATGTATGTATGTATGTATGTACGTACGAAGACCCGCTCGAGAAAACAATCACGGCTCTCATAAACCACTTCACGCCGAAGACTAATGTGGCCTATGAAAAATACAAGTTCATGCAGGCAAAACAACACCCAGGAGAAGACCTCATGATCTATTAAACCAGGCTGAAACACCTATCACAAACCTGCGAATTCGCTGATGCCGACCGAGAAATAAAAAGCCAGATTATTCAACTGTGTTCATCGTCCAAGCTGCGCCGAAAAGCTCTCAGTGATCCTGGAATTACCCTACATGCACTCCTCGATTACGGCAAAACCCTGGAGCTTGCCGAAACACAAGTCAAATAATTGGAAAACCCAAAAGCAGAAGTAAACAAACACGATAAACACCGTGAAGTAACTCGGCGAAAGTCTTAGAGTAGACCCCCCCGCGACAAGAAGGAACGCCCGGGACACGGATTTTCCCGATTACACTCAGGAACAACAACAAGCCGATACTGCGGTGGCGCTTACCCACATGATGGCGGCATGCGATGTTGTTCGGCCTATCAGAAAGAGTGCCGAAGTTGCGGCAAGCTGGGACATTTCGAATCAGTCTGTAGCAGCAAACCAAAGGCAATATCTCACAATCGAGAGTCACGGGTAACAGTCAGCACACTCGACGAGCACTTGGATGAATCCAGTGACAGCGATGACGAAAACACCTTCATCTAAGCATCCACAGTGTTAACGGCAAGAACATTAAGCAGCCGTAGTTCAAGGTCAAGATCATTGGCACCTGGCTGACTCTGATGGCCGATTCAGGATCTGGTATCACCATCCTAGACGGGAAGGACCTCAGTTCACTTCAGGATCGACCACGCCTGAGCGACACCACGACTCGAGTATACCCGTACAAGTCCAAAACGCCTCTGAGTATGTTCGGGAAGTTTAAAGTAACCGTAACAACTGAAAACGAGACCATATCTCAGGAGACTATTTACGTCGCCGAAGGAGCAGGAGGATCCCCTCTGAGCTGGCAAGCCTCGCAGAACTTTGGGCTCATATCGATCACAAGTCCACTGGTGTCTAAATCCAGACCAGAGATCAATCAGCTGGTACAGGAGTATGACGATTTGTTGAAAGGCCTTGGAAAGCTGAAAGATTACCAAATACATCTGCAGATCGACGACAGCGTCCAGCCATCAGCACAATCTCACCGACGTGTACTTCATGGCCGGAAGCAACTCGAAGAGCAGCTAGAAAGAGACGAGCAGCACGGCGTTATGGAGCGCGTGGATGGACCGACCCCATGGGTTTCACCCGTTGTTGTAGCACCCAAGCCCAAGCAGCCTGGAAAAATCAGAATGTGCGTTGACATGAGACAGGCAAATAGTGCGATCCAACGTGAACGACACATCAAACCAACGATCAAAGAAATCATCGCTGAGTTGAACGGAGCCTCCATTATGGAGAAGCACCTCCTGAACTTAGCATATGTCTGAGCTGAGAGCAGAAGTGTTTGTGTTCTAAGCTTCTCCACATCTTATCCTAAGATATAAACCTTGAGAAAAGGTTTGGAACATAATTCGTCCGGAAATTTTTCGAATTGCATAGTGAATTTCCGAGCCCTGATGGGGCGGGAACAATACAAGTGATGGGCAAAATTTCCGCTCATATTTAGCTATTATTCGCCTAAGGCGAAGTGAATATTGCTAAATAATCTCCGAGACGAAGTCAAGGGGATTATTCAACAATATTCACTTAGCCTGAATAATTGTGATAGTATATTTCTTAGGTGCTTTCGAATTCTGTTGTAAATATTCGTTTAAGTTTTGAACTATTCTGATTACTCGTATCGGGATAAAGGGCCAGTTTCCACTAGAATTTGATAGGTTTATTTAATTCAATCAGCAAAAACTTCATATCATTCTTTTAAAAAGCGTTGTTCCAAACTTAATAGCATCTCTTTTTGCTCTTGCATTTTCTTTATCACATTCATCATTTCCGGAGTAACATTGACAAAACGCAAGGTAGCCATTATGATTTTAGCGCTCCTGCTAGAATCACCTTTCACGAGGTGATTCCAGCGAGATATGATGATGCCCTCCTGGACCAATCAGAGCGCGTGCTTCTCCATAATCATCAGAGCAATTATGCTAATATAAATGTTAACCCATAGAACAAGGGATTCATCATTTCACATTATTTCATTTTCTAGTATTTTGGGTTTTGGTTTTCGACATTCATCCTACACTCTGAGCACTGTACCGATTGAATAAGTCGTGAGCAAAAGACGAAAACAACACAAACGAAAAGTGCTCTTCATGACCAACAAAGAAGATCCACGTCTTTTAAAGATCAATGCTCAGAAAGTCAAGTTAAAAAAAAACCGAAAAAATCGAAGTATATATCGTTCATTGCGGCCGTGTTTTCCTCTGCTTTCCGTTCATATTTTTGACATATTAGTATAGTATTGTGGCCTAATTTGCCCGTTCCGTTGTCCTAATAAATTGAAATGGCTTCAGTATTACTTGAATAACAAACCGCTGTCTCTGTCTGCAATAACCACGATGATGTACGAGACGGTAAAGAGTTAAAGTCCCCATGACACCTATTTTTAGCGTTAAATTATAAAAATAGAAGCATGTCGAGGGTGTCTGGTAAGATTTGCGATTGATTCTGATGCGTCTTTGTTAGTTTACGAGGCGATTTAAGTCCGAAATTGTAGCGAACTTAAGCTTTCCGTATCTCTTTGGCCGCGTTAAAGAGTACTGGTACCTACATATTCGTGACGTCATGTTAGTAAGTCCAAGTTTATCAAAGAAGCAAGAAACTTTCGTCAGAACAACAAGAAGTATCGGACATAATGACACGAAACTATCACCGAAATAGCCAGAGAAATTACAAATCACAAAGCCCACTTGTTTGCATGATAAGCACACATGGTTACTACTGTGACGTGACGGCGCCCAGTCCCCCTTTGCTCGGCCAGACATTTTATCTACAGATTATAGAGCTTGATAAGAAATTCAAAAAACGGTAAAATACCGCTAATGTTGCCAAAACACGTNTGCATCAGTAACAGCCACTTTGCAAGGATCTGTATCAGTATTGATTGTAAGGGCCGGGGTGTATGGTGACGGGCACCTGATACGTGGAAGTCTTCCAATCACTGTGTCGTATGAAGCAAGTCGTCCTTCCGACAGGGATACCTGCCTGGAGGTCTCAGCTGGTTTAAAGATCCTTGAACTGAAGGCCGGTGTATTCTACCAGCGGAGATCCTGTGGGTGGCACGGGTGGTGGTTTAGTTGCGCATGGGGTACTCGAAGCCCCTTGTACAGGTTTGGTCGATGGTCTGCCTTCAGTTTGAGGCGAAATATGATCAGTGAATGTTTCTGAACATGTTACACTTCGCAGTGAGGTCTGAGTGTTGTGAGCTGTTTAGTTTAAGAGCACTTTTCAAATGAGTGTCGAAAATAGTCCCAGAATGCATTAGTTTTCCTTTACTCTTCTCTGTGATTGGTCCAGAAAACTCCGCCACTCCCTCAACCAATCAGATTCATAGCTTACGCCAATTATGACTTGGTCATCCCACGTTTTCCCGCGCTTTAGGAGGGTTGCTTGGTTTTTCTTTGAGTTTTCATTGGCTCTCCAAGGAACTTTCCTTTCTTCTGATCGGCCTTTGTACTTACGTAGTTGTTTTGGTTTTACGACTCTCCGTCAATTAGTCTCCTTCGCAGCCGTTTTTAGGCTCGTCACGCAACGTTCCTCCCCACAAGGAGGAGAGGAGCGTTGCGTGACGAGCCTAAAAACAGAACTTTCAGGAACTTTTTTTTGGATTTGATTAAACGTTAAGTCGAAGTATCTTAGATCAGAGAGGGCATGTGTGGATTCTATTTTGGTTTTCAGTACAGCATCGTAGTTGGAAGATCATTATTTTGTTATTTTCTAAAATAGGCTCTTAACTAGATCGAACGAAGTCTTTTTATGCAGCCAGTAGGATATGCAGTTACAGTGTCCGCGATCGGCAAATCCAAAACAATGATTGGACAAAGTTCTGGGCCAGGCGGCAGTAGGTGGAACTTATGACGTCACAGAATCACTTGCATCAACTAGTGCTTGTCAACCGGTGACTGATGTCTCTTCATCAGATTGTTTGCCGTAAAGAAGATCCCATTTGTTTTCGTAGCTATTCACCCTAGTATTGAGATGATTTATTAACTCGTACGGCTACAAACTGATTCAAAAGTAGGGAAGACTAGATAAATCGTTAAACTTGGGCAAAAAAAGGGAAAACCCACCGTTTTTTTCAGCTTACATTCTTTCATCTTCATCTACGTTATGGTGAGGTCTGTGAAGTTAGAAACAAGAAAACGACACGATGAACGACAAAACAAAATTGTCCTTAAAAAAAGTGAACAAGCTTAGTAATTCACGGTTAAACATGACGAATCATTTTTTTGGGAACAAGGTTAGTTTGTAAATGTTTTTGGTTTCATCAACTAATAAATATATGCTTACAAGAACACAGTTAATGTTCCTTCGCATTTGGTTAGGATAGCTGAAAAAGTTCCAATCATACCATGGTTATTAGTTTGTATTTGTTATGGAGTGTCTATTTAACCACAGTGTTTTGTATGAAAGAACAATAAATAGCGGCATTAGAACGCAAGTCTTGCATTGTTAACTTACCGATTTTAATTTTAAGTCGAAAATTATTGTTGGAACTTGACACACTGTGCATTTTTCAACTTTGTGACTTGGCACTGAGGATCAATCACGCGTGCTCGTAATTTCAAATCAGCTGATTTGTAATTATCAACAAAATCACTCCCCCGAGCTACACCCCTCCTAGGTTTCAAGCAAATACTTGTCGTTAAAAATAGGATCGATCTCACCCTGTCCTTTGTGGGAATGAACTTTGCTCCCATGGATCAGGCCCGAAATTATCGCTTAACTCCTTGAGTTCTTTTTCTTTCACAAAAATATGACATTTCATATGTTTAGTTTCACGGGATATGCGTGCAGGTGACCGCAAATCTTAAGTTTTTTTCCGTGTTCAAATGATTCATCGACGACCTTTTTGTAAAAAAAAATTTAAATTCTTTAAAAACTCTTGCTTCTTGTTGTCATTGTAAAATGGTGTTCATCGTGTCTAAAGATCTTTATTTTCTAAACTTAATGCCTCTAACCGATTGTAACTAAGATACTTTTCTCGACCTTTTCCTACCATTTTTCTCAAAGAACATTATTTTAGTTGACCGATTACCCAATGGCCAGGAGTACAGCTTGCTTACTTCTTTGTTTATTGAGGTTCACAGAAAATAATTGATCTCACAGGCGTGTTCACCGGATAAACATTTTCCCTTCTAATCATGAAGTTTCA